ATTTTGTATGTAATCTCTTTTAACTAATATTTGGATCTTTGTATTTTCTGCATATTATTGAGGTTAAGTATTTGGTGTTATATTTTATTGTGTTGTATAGTTTTGTATATATGGTTAATATTTAATAATACTCAGACAGCTTTCTAAGAGAGAAGTAAGTTTTGAGTAGTTTTGACTTTTTGTAGACTTTGAGAACATTTTTTCCTGTAATATCTCTCCAATTCTCTATATTTTGCCATTCTCTAACAACTTATTTTAATAACATGAAGTGGTTAGATTTTCTAACATATTCAAATGGAAATATTGTTGAGAGATCACCCTCTGAAAGTGTTGTGATCAGTACAAATCTCTGTAGTAATCAAATAAATGTAGAAAATCACATTTTGAGTAGAAGATCACTGAAAGGGGAGGTGTAGAGTATTAGGTCTCTAGAAAGGATGAAATATAACTTTGCTTGCCACTTAGATTTACTACACATGTTCTTTTTTAAATAATTTAGCATATTTAAATTGCTTCAAATAATTTCAGTTAGTAAGTGCTATGTCAGTGTTTGCTGTTATTATTAGTATATTTCTTGTGCCAATTCTGGATACTCTGAAAACAGGAGTTTTTTATTTAAAGTCAGATTTAATTATGACCACTGCCTTAATCAATGCTACTGTTACACACACACACACACACACACACACACACACACACACACACACACACAGTAGTTCTTTACTGATGATATTCTTCGTCACCTAATTCAGACAAGAAAATACCAGAGTAGAAATGAATGGATTGGATTACAGGTTGTGTTATTTTGTGATGTTTGACTATGTTTTCTGAACTTATTTATACATGTTTATATGTGTATTTAAAAATTAATATACAGAAATCTAGAATATGTTTGCCACACATTTTTGCCTGATGATTCTTCAAGTTTCTTAGTGCTGAAAGGATACACTCTAAGTCAGATTCTTGAGTCTCTATCTTATTATTCCTTTTAAGACTGTGACGTTTCACTGGGCTTCAATGTCCTCTCAAGTCAAATAAAATATCACATAGGGTTTTGAAGATGTGGATAATAGAATCTAATGTTCAAGCATTTTTGCTTCTAATCAATTATTGCCTTGTTATTGTTTGATGATGCTACATAAATTTAGAAAATTAGCACATACAGCTTAATTGGCCATTAGTGATTAATTTTATTTGATCATCTTACCATTTTATAAAGTCTTTTCCCATAAGATGTACCATGAGTTGTATATAAAATACTTTGTTTCTCGAATGTGTGGTTTTCAGTGTAATGTTGTGTATTATATTTCAAATTTAGTTAACTATACATGAGAAAGAAGTGAAAAATGTATAGAGGGAGGTAAGAGAGAAATAAAGAAAGATAAAGGAGAGGAATGAACAAATAAAAAGCAGATTAGTAAGGTAATTAATGGTCTTGAATTCCTTGTAATAGCTGTTTGCTTCTGTATGCATTTTGGAGCTTGCTAATCATGTAGGCTGGTTATAATAGCTAAGGATGTTGGTTTATATCTTTGTTTTGCTACCTTTTTGTATTCTCACAAATGATGTCAATGCAAGGGAATGTGAATAACAATGTCTTAATTTTAAAATATAATCGATATCTATAAAGGAGTAGATTTTGTTATGTAGTTGTGTGATTCTAAATATCTCATTCCCTTCCAGTATACATAAATCACAACATGTCTAAAGCTAACACTAGTGTCAAGCATACTTTAAAATATTAAGTATCATGAAATTTGTGTTTTTGAGCAGGATGGGTACCTATATTTATGGAAAAGTAGCTTGGCAATGAGCAAGAATGAACTTGGAAGATAGTATACTACAGGCATATAATATTTGGGTGTTTAAGTCTGATATTTTATGGCCCAAGGAAAAAAAGCAGAGGTTGCAATAAAGAGGAGCAATATGTTTAAGATTTTCTCTCTCAATACAAAGTTGTGTGGCTAAATATGTGTAAACTCATATTTTCTCCTATCTAACCTTAACCTTTCTGTATCTCTTTTAGAGAAGCCTTACCTCTTTTATTTTACTGTCTCTGCCTTTTCTCAAATGATTTTGTCTATATGCTTCTGAATCCTTCTGTGACTTACTAGTTCTAGAGGAAAAGTTCCTTTGAATTCATGACTTTCATAGCTACCGATCAGCTCCACATCATTGCTGTCTTACTACATATGATTTGTAGAACATCTTTTCTAGAATCATGAAGGTAGCTTAACCTTGGGAAGTGATTTGGGGCAGAGAAATGAATGCCCCAGTCTCACCTGTTTTGTGGGGGCTTTTTGTTTCTGTTTTTTGAGATAAAGTCTCACTGTAATTCTAGGATTGGGAATCAGAAGCAGAAGGATCTCTGTAAGTTTGAGACCAGCCTGGTCTATATAATACTGGAACTACATAGTAAGAACCTGTATCAAAAAAAGTCAACAAAACCATTGTAAGCCTCTTTTCTGTTAATTGGAGTACTGGGCTTGTCTTCTACACCAGGACGTTAGCAAGGCCTACACTTTCGAACCCAGACTCAGACTGTGTGTAGACTAGGAGATAGCTGCTGGGAGACTTGATCACCTGTTGACTAGGATAAATGTTTTGTCCTTAACACTCATCGGGGCTTGCATTTATACTATTAAAGCCAGCATGAATCTCCTAGAATGCCCTACATGTGGAATTGGGGTGGAGGGATGGGAGGGGAGGGTGGTCAGGGTGCATGTGAGGGGAGAGTGAGGGTAAGAGGGAGGGAGGGAGGGGGAACTGGGATTGACATGTAAAATAAAAAAAAAAAAAAAAGAAAAGAAAAAAAAAAAAAACCCAGCAGGTGGAAGGTCTCTTCTGTTTTATTTCAAGTCTGTGTGATGTGTGTTAGAGCACACTGAAACATATGAATCATAATCTATTTAATCCAGGAATCTGTTACATCCTTGTGATTTGTCTGTCTTCAAATTAGCTAATTTAGTTAATCAACACTTTTTTCATCTACAGACTAAAAACACTAAAATAAAAGAATAATTTAGGAACTAAATACCTTAAAATTCTTAAATTTTATCAATATGTCAATTGTATAATAGTGTAAAATTTAGGTTCACAACTGAATATCTAATCAGTGAAATGTTTAATTGGAATCTTCACAAAAATAATTTAATATTTTACTAAAAATCCTTCCTATTCAGTGATTCCACATATGTATGGAGAGAGAGAGAGGATAGAAAGATAGACTGTGTTTCTCTGAAGCTATGACTGTCTTAGAACACACTCTGTAGACAAAGCTGACCTCAAATTCACAGAGATCCTCCTGCCTCTGCTTCCTCGGTGCTGGAGTTAAAGGCATGCACCACCTACCAGCTAATTACTAATCTTATTAGGGAATATTGACACATTCACTCAAAATTATGGAAAGACAAATTAACTTACATTCTTTATATGTGCATGGTGAAACTTTGTGGAGCTTAAACTATGTATAGTAGTGACAGTTCATTTGTCATATAGAGGTATGTGAATAAAATAAATCTGACAAGTGTTAGAAAGCTCAGTAAGCAACAGGTCTTGCTGTCAAGCATGATGACCAGAGTTCAACCCATGAAACCCACATTGTGGAAAGGCAAGATTAAACCAACTCTTACAAGCTGTCCTTGACTTCCATACATGGTATTCGTGTGTGTGTGTGTGTGTGTGTGTGTGTGTGTGTGTGTGCTTTCATGAACATGTGTATACATGTGTACATGGGCAGACACTCATACAATAAATCAATACATAAACAAACAAGCAAATAAATAAATTAGATATTTCTAAAAAGAATGCAAGTGACAAGATTGTTTCTGAAAGCTATTGTGAAGATTAGTAGTTGACAATGGCAGTTATAGCATATGACCAACAAGTTGTAATCTTCCCATTGCCATTACCTTTTGATCTCTTTGCTTTACTTTGCCTTTTGTGCCCTCTGCTTCATCCACAGAAATCTCTTTGGTGTTCTTGATGACATCAGACTTACTTGTCACTAAAATGTTTACACATGGATATTCTTACCTGTACTGTCCTTTTACCCTACACTGATTTGCCTCCTTAGAGAGGACTTCACTGACTATACCCTCCACAATTCCATCATGCTTTACATTCCATTTCCTTCTTCCTTCCTTAATGCTTGGCTACTTAGCGTTTATCTATATGTCACCGTATGTTTACATGTTCATTGCTACTAACTCTTTTAAATTAAGTTATAAGTTTTATCAAAACCTTCATGTGACTGTGGATTTACCTATTTTGTCTTTTGCTATATCTTTGGTACATATGCATGTTCCTACATTATAGTTAATGCTGAATATTTATTTATTGAGTGAATTTGTATTACACCAATCTGCAAATTATCCTAGACAATTGGATATGCAAAATAGTCTATACTCATGATGCCAAGCTGTTACTGCTTTTGCTTTGTTTAATTAATTCATTGGTTGAAGCATTTCATAGCATAAGAATTTTGTTATCATTTAACAAAGGTAATGAGTATAGTAACCAACTAAGTAGCTATTTTATTACATATTGAAATGAATTTTCTTTCATATGTAAAAATCATATAAATTGCATAGAAATATTTAATTTTTGCCACAATAAAACAATTCCTAATCATTTTTACCCCTCAAACAAATTCACATTTTTTATATCAACCAAGTAGAGGTAGTATGCTCTCTATCAAGCCATTTAAATTCTCATGAATTATTTTCTTCATTCTTTGAGTCCACTCACCTTAGTGAAAATAAATTTAGAAGTTTACAACCAGTGTAATTTAATATTTTAGACCTTGAGAACCATAAAAACAATCCAAACTATATAAAATTCTCATATTTAAAATTTTAACAACTTATGCAGTATGTTTGAGAATTTACCTTTAAATAATCCCAATTCCTGAAGTAATTTAATTTCTTGTTATGTTCTGTGTTTGTGACAAGCTCTGATTACTTGTTTTGTTTTGTTTTGTTTGTTTTTATCTATACTAGAAGTTACATGGGAAGACCAGCAGGGAACGACGATAGGTACAATAAGTGATGACAAACCATTGCCGACACAGAAACTCCAACCTGAGCCAGGTTTGTCAGGGTTGGAAACCGCGTGAAAGCATGAGAATATAAACATTGCATTTCATGCTTTTGGAATGCGTGTGTCCTTGTACTCATTTTCTCATTTTGATTTAAACTTTACTGTGTGTGAATCCCATGTAGATGACAGTGATAACTACTTAACCATTATTTGTTTATTAAATTAGTGTCACGATTTTAAGAAACAACCTGATTTAAAGGGGAAAAAAATGACAGTTTTAGTCCAAGTAAATGTCTGCTTTCTGTATCTGATGGTGCCTTAGTGGAGAAGTACTCACTTCCCAGACATGACTAAAGAAAACTCAATATGAATATTGAGCTTTGTCTTTTATGCATTCCTATTTTTCATCTACAAATACTAGAAAATAGCTCTACTGTAATGATTTACTTAAAACTTTTAGAGTCCAAATTTACTGGCTATGACATGAAAGAAAAAAAGGATGACATAGTTTATTAATTTAATAAGTGTCCTTTCAAGTCATTGATTTTACCAATGAATTTAAATATTTTGTTTTCTCTCTCTCTCTTTTTTTTTTTTTTTTTACAAAAGTTTGATTAACTCCCTTAACAAACCCACATGCCCCATATTTTAGGAGGAATAAAGGAAAGAAAGGAAAGAAATGCAAGTTGTAAAGATCAATTCAATAATTAGTACTAAATTAATTCTCAATTAGATGAATGGGTATATAAAATTTTATTGGGTGTAAAATATTCACATGAAGTTTCTACTAGTTATAATATTCTAAATGGCTGTCTGTACTTTTATATGTTGACTTATTTTTGCTCAGAGCTTAAAACCTATAGTTTAAACATATCTATATAAATTAAAATAGTTCAGTCACAAATATTTATTACCATCCTATTGTATGCTAACATTAAGGCTGATGAGGAATTATTTCAGTACACAGGAGAGACAAAGAACCCATATGTGGCAACATACACAAGTTAAAAGCAGGTGCAGTAAGTGCTGGCATGTTAATGCTATGACTGATGCTATGAAGAAGAACACAGTGTGTGGAGAAAGCTTTTACCTAAATAATGTAGCATGCCAGGAAGGGTGGCAAAGTCCAGTGAATATGCAATAAAACAATTCATTTTAAGACTTTGAATATATTCATTAGAGCTGTAAATGGAAATTTTATACTTATTATGTCTTAATTGAAGAATCAGTTTACTTGAAAAGAGTAATTACCTTAAAACATTCAAGGAGATTGAAATGTAAATGCAAAGTAAAATTAATTCAAATTATGATTTGTATAACAAAAACTACCCCTTAAAAGCATCTGTTCAGCTAAATATTTAGTCCAGAAGTAGAGCTCTTGCTTTTGTTGAGTAAGGTTCTGTGCTAGATTTCTGCCACTATAAACAAACAAAATGAATAATTAATTTTCCTTGTAATATTGTGTAATATGGATTATCCTTGATCAAATCTGTTATTTGACATCATACCTGACACATAATGTTTGTGGCCATATAAATATAGATTCCTATATCAAGATTACAAGGCAATGTAGTGTTTGCCTAGAAGAACATTAAGTCTTACAAACACCAAATTTCAAAGACTACCATAATTATTCTTGTTTTTTTAATGCATATATATGTGAGAATATATCTATACATATATGTGTATATATACATACCATACATTAAAATATATAATTATATACATCCTTTAATTGAACAAAACCTACTTACAATAGAGGAAATTAGTGAGTACTTCATGTCATTATAATTATTAAAATTTTGTGTTAGATTTAATGTATATTATGATAATTTGTTGTATAAATCCAAACCCTAAACTTTAGGAATTGGTTATGCAGTAGTCTTGTGAAAGATAATAAATGTTGAAAAACAAAATTGGTTTTAGACTTTTGAAAGACAAGAAGGATCTATAGAAGGCCTTTTTAAAGTGGGGCTTTGGAGTGATGTAATGTGAAGAAATAAAACTTTAGCATTTGGTTCTGAGTGCTCTAAACAGCATGTTGTAATACTGAATTCTATTGACGGCATGCTTGAAGTAATTTATCTTCAGGTGAATCCATGATATCCGTAATCTACTGGCTAAAATCATGTCCGCATATGATTTTATTCACTAAAATTAAGAGATCATCTTTCATGAAGTATCAAAATTCTTTATCAGACGTCAGCTGTAGTCAATGGTATTAGAAAACATTCCTCAGTATATAAGCCTAAATGAGAGATAGAAAGTTCTTTGCGTATCAGGAATATATACTGTTCTTGTTTTTAGTTGCCATTCTGCGAATTTATATAAAATTATTTATTATGCTGGGTATTTTGTCATTTTTAGGAAGCATGTCAAAAATAAATGTGAGGCGTGCTTTTGGACTAAGTCACTAATTTGATGATATAGATTAGAAGTGAACTGAGTGTTTGGGTGACTGTGGAACAACATCTGCTCTCAGCTCTTTTAGAGATTGAGTAACCCTCCCAAGTAGGATGTCTTAAACACTACCAGAGAGGAATGGTTCACTTCACTTTCTAATGTAATGGATAGTCCAGCACTCAGGAGGCAGAGCCAAGTGGATCAATGAGTTCAAGGCCAGCCTGGTCTACAGAACAAGTTCATTGTCAGCCAGGGCTACACAGATTTCATTAGGAGAGTACAGAATATAACAATTTGACTATAACTTTAATCCCCAGACTTACTGTATCATCTTTTATATTCCTTGTTAAGCATATTCCATTAGATTCGGTTTAAGCCATCAATTTAATGAAGCTTCTTTGCTTTTTAAGTTCTAAATCTAAATTCCAACACAGGCTAGGCAAAGCCCAGCCCTAAATATTCATTATATAAATGGAAGATGTGTAAATCATAGATAATACATTGTGATAATCTGGTTTGTTTTTGTTTTTGTTTTTTTGTTTTGTTTTGTCTTTTTTTTTTTTTTTTTTTTTTTTTTGTAAGAATTTCTCTGTGTAGCCTTGGCTGTCCTAGAACTTGCACTGTAGACCGGCTCACAAAGATCCTTCAGCCTCTACCTCTCGAGTGCTGGGCTTAAAGGCCTGTGCCACCACGCCTGGCTCAATGAGCAATCATATTGCAGACAAGAATGCTATGGTCATTACTAATACAATGAGTACTATTAAGTACTGAAAACAAATGTTAAACTTTTGGATTTATAATTCTTTGTGATTTATCTGCACTTAACAATAAATAGGAACGGCCTCTGAGAAAATAAAAAAGCATACTTTACATAAAATAGTTTGGCTTTATATTGTATTTGCCACTCAAGAAATCTGCCAAGGAGAAAGCTAACTGGGTGACTTCGTGTGTAATAAATGTTTGGAAATACTACAGGCTCATAGGTTTTCACATGAGAAAGTCATGGAAAAGTAGTCTTTCATTTAAATCATTCAAAATGTGTGAAAATAGCATTTTGTGATTTCTAATAAGTTTGATGATTCATTAATAATATCCATAATAGGTTTATGTTTTAATTTGTTACTTTCTATGTGCAAGGTGTGTTATATCTGAAGGCTTTTTGAATTGCCTACTTTTATGATAAATACTCAGAAATCACGTTGGTACCCTTAGTCTCCTGGCTTATCTGAAAATCAGTCTGTGGGTCTTTTTCTTGACTTGTTTTATGTTTGTTTTTGTTGTTTCTGTTTTGTTTTGTTGCTTTGTTTTTTAAACCAAGGAAATGAAACTATATTGGAGTACCATATATAATCTTTATGACAGTAATATTCAGTGTAACCACTTAGGCTTTACTAATAACTGTGGCATTAGCTACTGTGTAAGTTCTACTTTTAGCCTTGTACGACTTGAGTGGTGTCTTTTTTAACATTTCTATATCATAACGTTTATGGAATTTCCAACTAAGGTGAAGATAGGGACCTTTCTTCAATTTGGGAGTAAGCTTTATAAATTTATCTATTTGGGGTGACTTATTGTATTAAATTTGATACATAACGTTTTTCTTCAGTACTTTTGTATTTTATATTCTTATTTTCTCATATTTTGAATATCTTGAGATTTCTTGAAAAGAGATATATAATTCATTCATTCTAAAGAACAATTCTAAACTAGTCTTCTAATTTGATATTTTTGTCTATTAAATCTGGGAAGATAAACCAGGATTCTATTCTTAGTTACTTTTACATATTTCTTCATAAGTTATGGATTGTGATGGAATTCATTTTTTTCTTGATAGAGAAATATTTGTAAGGTAAATTAATGTTTATTAAGATACAAATTAACATGCAAACTTTAGATACAATTACTACTAGTACAGTCATAACTACAGCCATCACTTGACCCTCAAGGTCTCACACAGGCGCCAGATTCCCGTAACCTTCCTCTTGAATTGTCTCTATAGCCATGCTGCTTGAGTACTTCCTCATCCAGGATTTTAGAAAGATACATCTCTTACAGATGTCACTGTACATCTCTGGACTAATAAATTCACATACTATCACTAGCTTTATCCTCTAAAGCGCTTAGACTCTTCATGTTTCTTTTTCACACTGTTAGAAATATTTGAATATAATGATTGTTCCTAAAGGGCATCTGCTAACTCAAGTGCAGTTCTCTCCAGCAACAGTACTGAGTATAAAGCGCTTTTCTGAGTGGTGATGAGTGGGAACATCGACAGAGCTTTAGACAGATGCTTCTGGTGAAAATTGCAGGTCCTAGCTATCTACTTTATAAAGTTTGTTACAGATTATGATGTCTGATTGAATTGTTCATATATGTTCAGTAGAAATATAAGACTATAGAACATTTCCAAAAATATAAAATAAACCATTTATAAGGAAAAACATTTTAATTTGCTTAAAATTTTTCATAGCAAGGGTGATTATGCACATTTTCAGTATCTTACTATTTATAACAAATATGGCTAATGAAAATACTATATAGTAGATTTTTTATTTTAAAAACAAAACTATCTGAATATTTAACCAAAATACCTAGTTTTTAGTGTGTACATGGATATATTTTAATTGAATTAGACTCACGTCACTTC